TAAAGGAAAAGAGAAATGATATTTAAGTAATAGAGTGTAAGCTAGCCTTAAGTTTGATGTAAGCCAAACTTAAGTTAATGTTCTTTTGTATAAGTATTCAAATTGATGGCTCTCGTAAGACTATTGTAATTATCAATAACATATTTATTATCAGTAACATAATAAAATTAAGCTGTCAGAGAGTAGATGCTTTATGTAAATTTCTAAGGACAATCAATACAAAATTTTATATTTACAGATTCTTTAGAAGAGACACGGAAAAAAGCAGATCCTAATTATGCAACTTGTGATGAAAACAGAAGGCATGAAAAAAGAGTTATACACGAAAAACAATTTGACGATACATATGATACTTGTGATGACAGTATAGATGAAGATTACGGTAATTTAATTTTATCAAATTATATTTTATTTCTATTGTTTCAGAAATCAAAGTTTTTTTCAATAATTTTTTGAATTTATTTTAATGTTGTGTCGACGATTTAACGTAAAATAAATTGTGTTCACACTTAACTAATTTTTATTATATTTTTTTATCAGATTCTTCTTCGCAATTACAGACTTCATACAAGAAAATAAAAATAAATGAAAATTGGGAGTCGTCTGGAAAGAAATCTTCGCATGACAAACAATTGTTGCATAAAAAGCAATTCTCTTGTAATAAAATTTCACAAATTGCCGCCTTATCTACACCAAAGCATTCATTGTATGATAAATCACAAACCCAGATAGTTGATCCACTACAAATAGTACGAATGGATGAGTGTAATGAGTCGTCTGAATTTGGATCGCAAGAAATGAATGTACAAAGTAAAAATTCAAAATCATATTTTTTTAAGTTGATTTATGTAATAGCTATATATGATAAAATGTCCACAATTGATACAATAACACTTCTTTTAGATCTTGAATTTATTTCAACTATTGCCCCGTCAACTACAGTTAGTGACATTGGTAAGAATTATATTTTATATTTATTTTTTTCTTAAATTATTATATACGTTATAAGCATATAATATTTTAATTCAATGTGTTTTTGATTAGAAGCAATATGGTAAAAGAAAATTTATACGTTGTAATTGATTTCAGAAAAGCTGATTCCGCTTTGTGAAGAAACATTAAGGTACGTAAAAAGCATTGATAGGAGGCTGAGAGTTTTAGAAAGAGGTGTTATAAATGAGGAAGAGCCTGAAGGAATGAATGTATTCGATGACATACTTCCAATCAATTCTATACAAAATCTTAAACGATTTGAGGAAAGCATGGAAACAGCTGAAATAAAAACGAAATTTGTAAGTTAATTTTGAAAAGTATAAATATTACTTATTATAATAGTAGTATGTTAAATTACACTTCACATTTATTATTTATCTAATTGCTTATGAATATGTTTATATGATCTAATTAAGTTGTACATTTTCAAGATGGAATTTATGAAAAGAATCGGAGGCAAAGGCAACAAAAATATGATACAACGGTGTATGAGTCGTTTGTTTACAAATGAATTTGGCATAAGTTGTTCTTGGTGTGGTCGTGGGAATAATTATCGCATGTGCGATTTAAAATGTATCCAAGTTCTAAAAAGTAAGTTATTTTAATAAGTTGCATATTTTTATTCTTTATCAAAATTTATAAGGATTTTAGTTGTAATATTAACTATACTTTTGAATATTTTGTTAGTTGTGTTAAGAGCCAGGAGTATCAACGAATGCGAATTTGAAACTATAGCAAGTGAATGGTTCCGCCTTAGCAAGCTGCGATATGATCGCGAAAATAAAAAGGTATTGCCTACTGACGATTGTGATACACAGGAAAAGGAGACATAATCTATTATATTGTAACGATGCATCGTCCCAGTGGCACATTTGTCACACGTCCAATTGATCATCCACACTTCTTTTTAATTTTTTAAATCACTTACGGACTTTTTTAATTTTCTAAATCACGAAAGTTAATTGCAAGTTTTCGCAGGCCACAGTGCAATCTCGCCCGCTAAGAAAACGATTTTGATTAAACACTTGAGTGGTGTGGGGATATCGATGAAATTGACAAAATCCTCAATTAATCCTTATAGAGTACATTTCTAGAACACATTTTTTCGATAGACGGATTTTATTAATATTTGTATTTATATATTTTTTGTATATATTTCTTGGGTCACTGAGTCTAAAGTCAAATTTTAGAATTTCAAAATAATGGGTTCAATATTGGCAGACAAATTTTTTATATCAGCAGGACTCGGTAAAATAACTAATGCGACTTATTTAAAACAAAAAATATAAAATAAATTTCAGAAACTAAAATATTAAATAAGAAATAGGTAAAAAAAAAGAAGTTATTTTTAATAATAAATACTAAATAATTGTTTAATTTTGTTTTAAATGTATATTTCAAATAAATTTATTTGAAATAAGACCGAGCCCTGTGTATCAGTGATTGTTTTACTGAATTTAATGTTAAATTAATGTTAATATTTGTGCTAAGAGATTGTACGAGATATGCCATAATGAATATGTATTTTTAATTTTGAAAATTGACTTTTTTTAAATTTGATCTAAAATTCGTAGGATTGGGTCGAATTAGATTCAAAAGTATTTAAAAATTGAAAAGTATTGAATAAATTAATATATTTGCTATATTAATCATAGTTTTTTCTTTTTTTCTCTCTTTTTATAAGAATTATTTTTATAAAATTTTTTTATTATACATAAATCGCTTTTTTCTAAAAAGGAAAACACTTTCAGTATTTTTACGTATTTACTTGTATAATTAGACAAGTATCGATCACGTCGAAAAATAGCAACATCCGATTTTTTTTTTAACTTAATGGCATCTTTCCTCGAACAAAAGACAATACTAGCTAGAATCTTCTCGATAACATACAGAAGAAACGTGCTGTAATGTTTGCCAAATTCAATATTTCTCCGCTCGTTTTCTTACGAGGACAGTGACGACCAAAACGTGGATTACAAAAGTCGTGTAATGTGTAATTATGAGTATTTATAATGTAACTTTTCTTCAGTGCTCGAGTCCGCCCGTTAATTGCGGCTATTGTTTGGAAGCGCCTAATTATCACTTGTGCACGTTGCGATTGCGATCCTGGCCGATTTTTACCGACTGATTCACTGATAATAGACCGACTGATAATAGAATTACACTTGTCTTTACACAGTCATTCTCGATCATCTGTGATCGTATTATAATATTCACGACCGTTGTAAATATGTACGTATTGCATCATCTATTCATCATCATGCGCATTGTTGTATTATATGATCGTATTTGTCTTTCCACGTATTGGAAATTCTAGAACAAAAATTCGTAACGTTACGAATCAAAAGTCAAGCAGCTATAATTTCGTTAAATATGAACGAAATTTAAATTAAAAAAAAAAGGTTTTAAAGGTCTATTTTTGAAAGGTTATTATATTTTTTAATTTCTATGAGTTTCTATAATTTTTATATATAGAAAAATATGAAACATCTCTCGAAAAATCCGCTGTTCGAAACCGGTATTAAAACTGTAGATCCCGTATATTTGTGGTAATTGAAATAATCAGCGTACGCATTAGAAGCCTAATGTAAAAGAAAGAAGAAGAAAATTATGAGCTGGTCGAAATCCTTTTTACTTTGTGAGCCTGAATCCAACAAAATTTTTAACTTTCTAACGTGAAAACTTAAAATTTTCTTTACAAAATCGGTTTTTTAAAAATGTTCTTAACATTTTTTTTCTTCTTAAGTTATGACGGATTAAATAAAAGAAGCATTTTGATCGTTTATAACTTCATTAAAATTCATTGTATCGCAATTCGAAAAACAGATTCTTAAAACTTGATAAAACTTTGACAAATATAATTTCCAATTTTTTTAAAAACGTATAATAGCATGATACTAATGAGTAACGCTATGAACTTTTGTTCCAAGCCATATATTGCTAATTTCTAAATAAATGTTTGAAATGTATTTCGCGAGTGTGTTTCTCCTTTCCGAATACCTTTCAGACCCAGACATCCAATTAGTTGATCCGCAGATTGTTTTAATGTGATTATTTTAATGTACTTGATTAAAAAAAATTTTTTTTACACCTATCGTTACCAAGGATTTTAACAAATTTTTTAATTATGTTATAAAGTAAAATGCAGTTAATATTATTTATTTTAACATCCGTTTTCTCAGCTGATAATAAAATCGCGTGCCGATTTGACAATTGTTGATACATGTGCAAGTCGTTACTCCTAAATGCTAATTTTGACAAAATCTACATTGCATTCGAGTGTCCACAATTTATCCACATTTGTGCATAAAAAATAATTTTTGTCTACCTTCTAAAAAAATTATAAATAGATAAAAAATTTTTTTAGCTCCGTTATATGTACTTTCTTTTAAATTACATACAGGATTCAATTGTTCACATTTGTCCATACATAATTATCTTTTTTGTCTACCTTGCAAAATCATGTCACAAACAAATGAAATGATTTTTCTTCACGAGTAAATGCTCTCTTCTGTTGACGTGTATTGCTCGTTCGTGAATGATTTTTGTGAATATAAGCAAGGAGTATTCAAAGAAAGAAGCCTGAGAGCGATCGTGCCCTGGATTTAGTTGTTACCAGAAAAAACTTTGCTATTCATAAACAGAGTTAGATAATCATTTAAAATGGCAAATGGTAAAATATTTAAAAAAACGTATTTAAAGTGCAAAATGTTTTTTGAATCCACTTTATATGTAAAATGGTTAAATAGATATTTTAAATAGTTTTCAAATACAGAATGATTTTTCCTACGTACATTTTAATGTATATTTTTTAAGTATTTTTTAAGTATTTAGCATTTTAAATAGAATTACATTTGAAATGGAATTTTAAATGCAAAAATACCAGCCCTATTAATAAATAAATATACATTTGCTATGCAAGTTTGTTTGAATAGATTCTAATCGCGCGGCGATATCGTTTGAGATCGTACGCGCGATTCCGATGTATCGATGGAGCTGTAGCGGCTTTTAGGTTGGATAACCTATTTTAATTAGTTTGTGCGATGAGTTTTTCACATTATTTGAAAAGAAATTGTCTTATCGCGTAAAATGGCGGTATCCTTTTTGGGTAAAAGAATCGCTTTAACGCAACGGAATTTCTTGAAAATTCCAAAACGAAACGGATATATAGTCTTGTAAGTTTTTCTTTTACTTTGCTATTGATATAGAGGTTAGGTTCCAATGATTCTCATGTTGTTTTAATGATTATTACGTTTTATTGTGTTTCCTTTACATTTGTGCATATATTTAGTGTTCATATGTTATGGGTTCCTTTTTTACCTTTCTTAATTAGTTACATTTCAACTATACTTTTGGTGTTTAGAGATTCAATCTTGTCTACATTTTCAATCATGTGTTTTAAATTTGCATTTTTTTGTTATTCAACTTAATTTTCAATGATTATTTAAATTATTTATATATTTATTCTACATTTATGGGTTATTTTTATTGTTTAATATTTCTCATCTATTTGATTACATATTTATTGCATGTTTACGTATAATTTATATATTATGAAATATAAATAAATTTTTTGTAATATCATTTAATTTATGTTTTTAAATATTTACATTGTTATTAAATGGATATATTAAAAAATGTATCCTAAATATATTAATATATATAATTAAATTATAAAATAAAGTATAAAATTATTTTTGATCTGTTTTTTACATTTTTTTTGTTTGATTATATTTATTAGATATTTAAATTGAGTTTATTTTGTATATTTGCATTTGTTTTGTACATTTATGTACCTTATACAATTTTATACTTTCTCCTTTTTCTTTGTGTCAAGACTTCCAGAAATAGGTGAAGAATCATCAGAGAAAAATCCTTTACTGAAGGATGATAATTTACCAGAGTTTAACACAATTACAAATTAAAAATGTATAGCAGCTATTGGAAAACAAACTGTAGAATTTGAAGAAAAGTTGAAAAGTTTGGAAAAAATAGCCCGTAAGTATTAAGATAATAAGATACCAATCGAAAGTGAAGTATTATTATTTAATTATTAAAAAATATTCTGTATTGAAAATATTAATTAAATATATTTAAATATTAATTTTATTCGAATGCTGTATAATTAATATTTAAATACATTTTATAAGCAAATTTTGAATATGATATGAATAGAAAGAGAATAAATAATATTAAGAGATTTTCTTATAATTGTTTAGTAATAATCAAATTAATATAATACAAATGAATTAAAAGAAATATGCTCCAATATGTACAATTACGATTTTTAATTTTTATAATCTTTTATAGCAACTAAAGATTTAGATGTATTTAATGAGTATTTGCATCCAATCGAAGATGCATATCTCCCTCTTGAGACGACTTGGGGTATAGCAAAGACTTTGTATTTTGGCAATCAAAGTTTAATGCCGACAAAATGTTATATGGGTATTCACGAACGTGCTACGAGAGCCATAGCTTGCAAATTTGGCAGTGCGCCACTCTTTAGAGCATGCAAGGAAGCATTAGAGAATAAGGACATCAAATTAACACATTCACAGAGGAGAGTGCTTACCAAGTATGTGCTGGAAGGAACTTTAAATGGCCTGAATCTGCAAGATAAAGAATTCGAGAAGTATTCAGCCGACTTGAGTTACATTTTGTCGAAAATCAAGGAATACAAAGCGAAATATGAGGTCTATCACATAACTTGTAATAGATTTATAATAATTATAATATAGCAAAATTAGAAAAGAGAGGCTACTACAATAGATTAATTATATTTAAAAAAGCACCGTTATCAACAGGATTTTATGTTTGTTATTATACTGTGTATTTTTATTATTATACTGAATATTTATCTTTAAAAAAACACAGCAACGAATTGAAATTTAACTTGATCTTTTTTAGAGTTCTACAGCTGTATATAGTATGGTAATACATAAAAAACATGTCGTGGAAGATTTTCCGGAAGACTATCTCAAATCCATAGCGATTGACCCTAGACAACCTTACCTGGGTCCTTGGAAAATCACTTTAAAGCCATATATCCTGCAACCGTTTATGGGTATGCATCCTTCGTATTTTATTTTATTTTTATTTAAAAAAAAACTTGAAATTTTTAAGACTAAAATTTTTATCGATTTATATTTTCTTAATTAGAATATTGTCCTGATCGTAAATTGAGGGAGGCGATTTGGGATGCTGATGTCACCCGGTGCTCTAATTATCAGGAAAGATCCGTTCAAGCCAGTGTGACATTGGAGGAACTCCGATCAAGAAGAATTGAACAGGCGAAACGCTTGGGATTTAAGAATTACGCAGAGATGAGCATGAAGACAAAGATGGCCGGCAATCTGGAGAATTTGTACAACACATTAGAAGTTCTTCGGAGTACTGGTAATTAATTTATTATGAATGAAAAATATAATACAGAGAAATAATCGAAAATTTATTAGAGCATTTATGCTTTGTTAAAATTAATTTGTTGACAACTTGTTCAAATTATGAAAAAACGATAATGTTTTATTATTAATTAGATTTGTTAGAAAAAATATATTTTTATTAAAATTATGAATATAGAATATTATATATAAATAATAGAAAATGTTTTTTATAATATTA